GTTTGACTATTGTTGTTATTAAAATTGATTAAAGGTGTGATAGCGTTTAAATAACATCATGTTTTACCGATAACAGAGTTAAATTATCTAAAACTAAATTGGAACAATAATTTAATTTTGGTGTAGCTCTTTGGGCCAGATTCTTTTCGCGAAGTTGTTTTTTATGCATTTTTCTCCCTTCTCATAAAGACTTTCAGCTTATTGCGCACGTAGTTACAACACGTCGGACACCGGAGGCGCCAGACAAAGAGTCCTTCAGTTCTGTAGGAAAATTGAGTTGAGTTGAATAGCTGTGACAATTGGGACAGACCAATTTACCAAAAAGCGGAAGGACTACAAGTGGTCATCAGTCGCCTTAGTCACTTCGTGGCAGTCTGCGCGTCTGTCCGGATCCAGAACGGTGGTCTTCATAACGACCTTGGCATCTTTGGAGATCAGATTCATTTTATATATTGCCATAATCTATTAATATCATTTAAAAAAAACATTGTCTATAATTTACTTGCATATCTATTTAACCATATTTTAGTAGACAAAATAGCTGTGAAAACGGAGATAATTTGAACACGTTGAGAAGGTTATGTATTTAGTCGACGATATCTAGAAAAAAATAAATCGATGAGGAAGTTGAGGCTAGGTTCAAGAAGGGAAATGTTTCTTATTCTTTCTGTTGCAAAACAAATTAACTCGCGCCTTCTGTCCGAAACTTAAATATTAGAACTTGCATATAGTTCTTTAAGGATGCGAATATGACCGATTATATCCCGGTATGAGTAGCTTCTTAAGGTTATTGAAAATAAAGTATTGCGTAGAATATTCGGACCGAAGAAGGATGAATTAAAGTAGATCTTGGGGGTTTGAGTTTGAACGGTGGCTGATGTATGAAAGTATGCTGATAGCGATTTGTGGTACCCACTAGTATCGAATCTTCGGTGCCAATGTCTTTGTATTATTATAATTTTAAAAAAATATTGTTGGGTTATTAGTGAATTTGATTGCGTAGGGAAATTAAAACTTTTTTTCGTTGTCGGCACTAACTATTTAATTTTGAGGGCTTCAATCCGAAAGAGTTTTATTGTATAAATATTTTAGGACAATGACTTCGGAAGAAAGAAAGAAATCAATTACCTATATGAAATAGTCTTTGAGCGATTGTTGAAGTCCTATTAACTGTAATTAGATGAACAATAATACTTTTACCGATAATTTTTTTCATAAAACATGGTTATATTTTACCATTTTGGGGGGTACTTCAGCCCGAAAGCCCTTCCCACCCATAGATCCGCCCATGGTTGTCGGTAACTTTCGCACAGAACAAAACTTATATCCTGAAAATACGTCAATTTACTTTGTGTATGTTTACACGGGCAAATACAAGGAGCTTAATATATGTTGGCATGTACAGATAATTTTAGAAGGATCTGTAAATTTTAGTTTGTCAACCGACTACTACACTAAGTACCGTACCTATAGAGATCAACTTACCTATTAAAACCTACAAATGTTTTCAAGCAGATTTGCTTTCCATTGTCCTTTTTTTTTATGATTATTTTTTCCTTAAACCTTCTTATAGCACAACTATTGACGTTCTATACCGATAAAAAGTTTGCGCTTGCCTAGAATAATCTCCAGCATACTACTGGCTTTGTAGTGCTGATATTTTAAATATTTAATTTGTAACATTTCACGTATACAATTAACTCAAATCTATATCTTCATGCTAATTTGCAGTAATAAATATCTCCATTTAAGTATTCTACAGTCTCTACTTGGGCTATTTTTCTCAAACCATCTTTTTAGAAATTTTCTTAACGTAGAACAAATAGCCAAAAAATGTGCTAAATCCTCTATCACTTGCGTATTGCTAAGGGTACAGAGCTCATTGGCATGTTCAATATTCCTCCTGTTATAAGAGCCCGATTTCCGTCTTATTTTGAAAATCTTACAAATACCAGTTAAACTAAATTTACTAATTATATACAATACATCAATGCAATGATTTCGATTAATTGCTCAAAGATGCAGTGACAGATTCACGAGAATGGAAAACGAGAAAATTTTCCTTCTCAAACTAACCATTGAGACAAAAAAAATTATTCTATTTGAAACAAATTTATTAAACTGTTGGTGAATAAATTATCGTTCATTAGACAGGAGACATTAAAAAATACACTCATCTTGGGAGAAATCGGTCATTGTATGTGCATTAATGAAATTAATTATTTACCTTGTCTATGATTTGGACAATTGATTTTAAATAGTTCAAGATATAAAAGAGTTATATATTAAGACATATAATCGATTTATAATTATTTCTTCCCCATAAAAGGTAATAATTCTCCCAAATTCGATGGGGACCCCTACCCTAATAACTACATATGGAACTGTGCCTCAGCTAAGATGTATTAAAATTTGAGCTTAAAGTCAAAAGCTTTAATGCTATTTGTAACATAGTAAATATCCATATGTACAAAGACACACAATATCCTTTGAGTCCTTGATCAGAAAATGGACACGCGGAAGGATCAGAGCAAGAAGTGAAGCAAGAGGATCGAGTTCTCTTCCAGCTAGTGAACCTGCATCCCAATGTTGGCAGCCTTGCTCATCTTTCCGCCTTCCGCCATCGGGCACTCGAGGTCACGACCATATGGATATTGAATTACATCCACTCTCTTTACAGTTAATACTTTAATTCATAACAGAAACAAAATTATAATTGGTGTATTTCAAATTATCATAGGAATTAATAGCATATTTGATTATACAACTGACTAGGAAGAGAGTAATGCAAGTGACAACATGAACAATACTGTATGTTGTCATTAAAGCATTATTATAATAGTGCCTCGTATTAATGTGTGAAAAGGGTTGTATGATATTTTAGCAAGTTCGTACAAGATACAATACTTTCTTAACGATATATATTCAAAACGAGTTAACACCTTTTAAAAATGAATGATGAATTTATATTTTAAACAAAAATATTGATTTTCTAAATTAAATTTTTAAAAATTCATTTTTAAGCCAGGTGCTCCCTGGCTAGCCATTAATTTTGCTATTATATTATAATTGTCATATTGTAACTCCTCTAATTTTATAACTATCGCTGAATTCTTAATTTCTGTTGGCTTAAACTTCCAATTGCAACTATTATTTAGGTAGATTCAACATTATAATGTCTATTTAACTAAGAATAGTGAAAGGTGAGGATTATAATTTCATTCAGTCTAATGTAGTAAAAATATTTATTATTATCAAGATAACATTATGAAATAACAAAGAAAAAAATGCATCATTTAATTAAAAATAGAATTATAATTGAATATAATTTCAGCTATTCATAAATATTAATCTTGATTTCTTCTTTTTATTTCTTTTGTTGGAAGTTTTTGTTTATATTATACCAGTGAGGTTGGCAAATGCAACTTCCTTGTGACTTTTATATTAACTTTATTTGTCACATATCATACATAACATGTTAATGTAACGGGATATATTTTCCTCTAATTATCTTTTCACTATTTTTTTTCTTTAATAAATAATCGCACTTAGTTTTATATTATTATTTATTAATGTACATTTTGGGGATTCTCTGTCAACCTCCTCTGAATATAACATTCTCTAGAATTGGGTAAGTCGAAGTTGTTAATAAATTTGATCAATGGTTAAATTTTCTCATCATCAGAACTATATAGATTTTGGTCAGAATCTTCTCTGCAATTCAAGGATCAATTATAAATATATTGTTATCATATTACAAATTACATACCTTTATTTGATGTGCTCTTTTTGCCATCATATAAACAATGTTTTTAACTTTTTATAAAATTTAATTTTTTATAATTTGGGACAACACTCATTTTCACCAACAGTTAGAAACATTTGAAAACAAAATTAAAATGTCTTTCTTCTTTGTACTTTCCCTTTCCATATCAATTTATCCCTCCCCTTATAGACTCTTAGCCTGTTAATCTCATCAAGTTTAATTGGTTTATTTTGCTTTGATTATGTTTATTATGTCCTAAATATCAACATATAATGACAATTGACAAATAAAGTAAATAAACAAGACACTAGGAAGTTATATTTGTCAATCTCACTAATTAATATTAATATGTTTGCGAAAAATTTTATATCAAAGAAAAATAACAGAACAAATTATTAAACACTGCAATTGAGGGCATTTGAAATAAGATATTAAATCAAGATATATATATATATATATATATATATATATATATATATATATATATATATATATATATAAATATGTATATTTCTCCAACAGTTGCTTCCTATGTAAAAAAGTAACATTTTTTTCTGATATTATGGAGGTAGCTTGCAATTATTTATTTGTTCTTCAATGCAGGATGGACGCGAGAGTATTTGGTTGCATTACATTTGTACAATAGTGATATTAGTCTTGTCTTACTCATATTCCATTACTCTGCTATTTTAAAATTTCTGTTTTATGAAAAAGGTCTTATTTATTTATATAAGCATTAAATTTCTTATCATCATAAATTTAGAGATATTAAAAAAAATAATAATCTTTAAATGAAAACCTAACTTTTCGAATATCTATATTTTTAGATTAACAAAGTACATACCAATTTAGGAATTTTTTGTTTTTAGATTGTCATCAAATAACTAAAAGTAACTTTAAAAAAATGATTTAGCTTTTTATTATAAAAATGGCATTTCAGTCTATACGAGACTATTAGTAATCATTCAAAATTCTGAATTCTTGTAAATCACAATCTGATTTTTTTTTTTTTAATTTCTTAGGGTAAATATATGGAACTTTTATATCAGCTTGAGCATTTTCTTTCAATAACACTGTAACAAAATGTTTTCTGGAAACACAACACAATTTTTTTTTAGAACCCAGCTCAAACTTAAACAAAGTGAAATTGAAAATATTATTCTTATTCAATAAATTGATTCCAATTATTGAAATTTAAGTTGTACTATGAAGTTAATCATAATATTTTTTATAGGAATCCAACATGGTGGAGAAGGAGGACACAATTGGAGAGGGTGCTGACTTTAATCACTGTTGCGACCATTGGTCTCTGTGTGATTCTAACAATTGCTTTAGCTCTTACCAGCTACAGGCAGTATCATGAATCAGGTAAGTTTTTGTTTTATTTATGCATTTTTTCATTTCTCATCATACTTTTTTAACTGAAAAAAAACAAAAAGCATAATATGATTTTTTTTTTTAATATATCAGATACAAAATTTGCATATTTGAGAAACAGATAAATGTACCTCATTTAAATAAAAACAATGATATTTCTATTTAATCATTGCAATAATACTTTACATGTTGACTGTAAAGTGTTGCAACCTAGTGGTAGAAGGCTAAACTAAAGGATGTAACTTTCTGAACATAGTGTTTCGAATGAGAAATCTTTTTGAAGCATAATATTCCAACACCAGCCAACTCCATTTCAATTTTTTTATTTTAATTTTTTTGAATTAACAGTTTTAATACTAGATTACCATAAGGTAATATAACTTATTAGAAAAACTGTTAAATCAGATGTGATTTAACTGTCTTGAGAGGAGATTCTTTCTTTTCATTATAATCTATGACCACAAATGTTAGTTAAAAAATATCAAAAATAAAAAAAATTTAAAATAAGTTGGTTGGTTTTAGAATTATTTCAACTATCTTTTTGTTTAAAATATCGATCCCATCAAACTACATAGAAACAGAAATTTTCTTTCAAATAAATATTTGGGGTAAAGAATGGACTAATTTTTTTTTCATAGTTACTAAATTTAAATAAGTTGTAATACATTTATTTAAAAAATAAAACAATAATTTAAAAATACTTCTGTGATGAGTGTGATTGAATGTAATTATTTTATTTCTTTTTTAGTAATTTAAATATTACTATCTAGAGTGATATTAAAATAAAATTCAATCATTAGGATATTACTATTTATAAAACATGAGTAAGGTAATATATATCTAATTATTTATCTTATGCTCTTTAGTTTCTACATAAGCTATACATTGAATTTTTTTGAAATTTATATCTTTCTGAAGTTATTTTGCAAGTCATCGCTAATTTTAAAGAATAAACTTTTTAAAAACTATTTAAATTTTTTGAAAAGGGAAAATCGCTTCATATTAGGCTATTGGGAAATCAAGAACTTTAATTTTTAAATCTAGAAGACGTTGCACGGTCATTTCCGAAATTGATAATCATTAATTTTGTACTAGAATCAATTAAAAGGTAATTTTCTGCTTTTATTATTAATTACTAATTCATAATCTATTTATTTTATCGGGCCACCCTAAAACTTACAATTCATAAATAGATATATTCATAGCAATGTGGTAGATCTATCGAGGAAAAGAGATTACATCATACATTTCAGATTCTAATATGGAAGTTAATTTATTTTATATATATTATATTATATTTCTGTCAATGATCTTTTTTTTTTAATCCTCTTCCAGTGGCATAGCGAGAAGTATTGAGTCTGGGACCAAATCTAACTGAGATACTTTTATCTTATTGGTAGGAATTAAAGAAACTAAATAATGAAACAAAAATATTTGTTCTTCTCATATTTCTTAAATTTATTCATTTTAAAGCAAATACAATACAATTAACCTTAAATAAATATATTTATAATAACTTATAAAAGTTTTTTAACATAAAATATAATTTTAATACTAGTTACACTGATAACAACAAAGTACCCTGTGGTAAGCAACCAAAATATTTCAGTTTTTACAATATAAAAATAATTTTTATGTATTTGCTGCAACAGTATAATAACACAAAATTCACGAGTTTTCAGGATAAAGATTTGAAGGTTTATACAATGTATTAATATCTGTGAACCTAGGGTAAATAAACAATTCAATTCCATTAATTCAAAGTGAAAATTAACTGAATCCATTGTTTTAAGAAGTAATAAGACATTTAGAAAAAGTTGGTTTACCTCATATTTCCAACATAATAATATGTATATCTCTCTGTTTCTTCCTCTTTTACTACGAAATTGAATAGCATTCTATCAGAAGTTATTATATCCACTTCCAGCGATGCCCAGAAGGGGGTTACATGGCACAAGTTGCGCCATCAAAATTTTTGAGGGCACATATTTTGATGGGTTTTTGAACTTTTGAGGGTGGAAGATTTCGACGGAGTAATAAATTTTTGGACTAAGGACAAGGATTAAAACATGGAACATACCGCAACAAGTGTATTATCTACAATTTTTCTAATTCTATTTTAATTTGCTGCGTTTTTAAGAAAAGTTAAGCAGTAAAATATTTTGGGAGGATGGGGGTAGGTTCTTGCACCATCGACCCTGAGGGGAATGGGCACCCCTGTCCAATTCTCATTAACAATGTTTTAAAAAAAAATAAAAAATTCTCCATTTAAAAATCATTCTGAACAAAATATCTAACCTGTAGAATTAGTGTTTTTAAGTATTAGGCCCTAGGGCAAGTTAATTCCTTTGTTCTCTCTTTCCTATGCAGTCCCTATCCTTCTTCTATCATTAAGTTCAGAGATATCACAAAATGTCTGCATATTTTATTCAGTAATAATTGATCTGGGTTGCAGCCAGGTGAGACGTTATTCATGGTGCAAGTTAACAAGATTAGATTATTTTGTTTATTATCTCCACATGTTAAAAACAATCACCCTTAGAAAGAAGACCTAAGCAGATCCTTTCAATGAATTAACGACAATTACAATAACAACAGCAATACAACAATTACAAATTAATAATCTCAAAATATTGTATACATACCTTCATTTTATTTTAAAAAATCAGAAAATCATCCTTATGGAATAGTTATTTGAAATTTATAACATAATTGCAAATTTATACCTTTAAATTATAAAGTATATAGTTGGTTGTTTGTTATGTAGTAAAGGCGTAAAACCTGTTGGTTATCAACAAGTTGATCGTTAATAATAGAAATAAAATAAAATTAAAAAGACTTGTTTTTAACACTTGTTACTAATCATAATAAAAAACTTGTTATTAAAATAATCCAGTCCATTAATGTATTATATCAATAAATTGGTTCAATGTTAGACTGATTGATATACTAATCTAGTACAACTGTCTTATCGCCTATCCTAACATATGGTTTGTTAAACATGAAAAAAAACTAAATAAGCCCAAATTCATAGATAATTTTAGTTATATACTTGTTTTTTATTAATTCTGAAGCTACAGATCTGATCTTATATTAAAGGAATCTAGATATAAAGAAATAAAAATAGGACTTCACAAAAGAATGTTTAATTTTTTTGTTTAAACGTCTTAATATTCTATTCAGAAAATATTAATATGGTGACATTTATAAATGCTGATGCCTAAATGCAAATTATTCTTTTATCAGTGTAGCTGATAAAAATCCTACACTAATAACAAAACAAGTCTTTCTTATATAACTATTTCACCAAGCTGAAAATGTTTGCTTAGCAAATGTATTTAATTTATATTTTGGAACAATGAATTGTTATTGGAGAAAGCACCTAAAAAAAAAATAAATAAATGATTTCTAAGTTTATCAAATAAATGTGAATTCATCATAATGTCAATATCATTTTATTTTTCTAAATTATGATGATAATTTTATAAGAACACATTGCAAAAATATAATGTTAGTAAAATATTCAACCTGAATATGCAAATTAAGAATCCTTTGTCCATTAGAAATAATGGAAAATTTACGTTTGTCAGGCTGATATTTCTACTCAAAGAATATTTAATGAAATATATATTTGAATTTTTTAATCACCTCGTCAAAATTTTAAAGCAGAAAAGTCAAAGAAAAGTTGGTATGTTAACAATTATGGCAACTATCGAGTTGTGATGGTGACGAACTCGCCCAAGGCCAACCAGGGTTGCCTTTCCGGCTAAAGCTGGCAAACCAGCCTTGAGTTCGCACACGGCTCTGTTTCAGTGCACAGCGCCTTTCGTTTCTTATGTAGCCTCTCTAATCGTTGAGTAAAGTTTTCATATCTTTCTAATTTGTTTACATGCTAAACCGTGTTTAGAATATATGCGTTGGGACACAAACAAGCTGTTGTAAAGTGATATATCAGTTGATAATAAAATACCTTTGTAACTCTACCTATGAGTGGTAAGGGACTCGATTGAAGTCTCTACTGAAAACCAGAATAAGGCGTGGGTTCAACACGTCAGTGCATCGACATATGGTGGCAGAAGATCCCTTTACTATCTGGTAGTGATAAGGCAGTGCACCGCGGGCCTATGGACTCTACCAGATGGACCCCGTGTTCTACCTTCCCCCAGAAGCCATCGAAGGCGTATGGAAGTTCCTGGAGATCCAAGATCTGCTGAACTCCCGTCTAGTCTCGACCTCATGGAATAAGTGCCTCACCTCTGACCCTGTTTGGAAACGGTACCTCCCAGGTGGCGCAGTGTTGCCTTTCTGGAGTTCCTTCCTCGAGTCGAAGAAGTTGGACTTCAACTGGAACCATGGCATTTATAAAGAGTACATCACACCCATATCTCAATTCCAGGTTCGTCTCATTAATTTGACCAATTGGTAAATATTCATTTAGTGATAGAATACTGTTTCATTCAAATCTATCGTTTGTTTTGTTTTTTTCCCTGTAACATATATGATCGTATTTCACAATAATTTTATTGATTAAACTTAAAATTTAATTTCAATAAGTTATTTTGATCTATAACCATAAAGTTAAATAAAATACACAGTGCGTATAGATTTTCAAATTCAACAATAAGTTTTCTCTTCTAAATAATTTTGCCATTTTATAATGCTGTTATCATCGTTAATTAATAAAAGTGCCTAACCAATCTGCCTTTGCCACAGATTCCGATTTCAATTTTTTTTTTTTTTTTCATGTTAGTATACTTCAAATTAGTGTACCTCATATAGATGACAAAAATATCGTTCATTATTAAATTTTAAAAAATATGAATTGTTTATTAAAAATTCATTTGTGGCATAATTTTCTTTACTTCTGTTTAATTGATTTTTGTTATATATTTATCTTATAAATATGGTTTTTGAATTATAAACATTTAACATAGTAATTGATTATTCTTCAATTGTGTTGTTAATCGTGAATAGTTCTTAAATATGATCAT